GGTGGGGGGGTGCCTGGATAGGTAGAAGGGGGAGTTGAGGGCGAGGCGGGGGAAGGGGTGCGGAAAGTCGACGGACAACCGGTCAGGGACCCCGACGGTCCCCTCACCTCACACGCACATTGACGCCCGCCATGGACGGGGCGCTGCTTCACGTGCTGGTCGCCGGCGCATTTGTAGCAGGTAGGCAATCAGGTGCTTAACGGGCAGGGGGGGGGGGGAGTTACCCAGGTCATGGCCTTCCCTCAACGTCCTTTGATGAAACGTATGATCTGCAGTCAATTTACAATTCAATTTTCTAAAGTTAATCCAGGGCCCTCACGCAGTCTCCTGGATGTACCGCAAAGTCGCTTTATGTCACCCATAGTCACGCTTGAAATGGCACAGCGCTATTGTTGTTTTACTTGCTGTGCGTGTGACATGTGTTCTATTTCCAGGTGGCGATGCTGCACCAGCAGAAATCGCGGTGAGTTGTGCAGTGCAGGGTGTAGGTGTACTTTAGCGAACGGAGGAAGAAGAATGGCGAGTAGAGGATAAAAACACGTTCCCGACTGGCCGAGCGAGGCCCTCCTCCCGCCTCTAGCTCACGCTATGGTAATGGGGGTAGAGGCTCGGCAAATCAGGAGCCTTCTTTATGTTCTACCTGCCATTCGCCTTCCTCTAAAAATAAATACTGGGATGGGTGTGGTGTACAACACATTGGTGCGGTCAGAACTTCACGGAACTTGGCGTGGTGCGGTGATGATGATGACCTGTATGTAGATCGTGCGCGTGATGCCTGCCGACGGGGAGCCACTATCAGCCCCCGGCATGCGTGACGACGTCCTGATGGTGCCGCTCGCGGGGGGCCCGGAGGCGGTAGCTGACGACGCCGAGCCGGACGCCGAGGGGGAGGAGGATCCCTGGGCGCTCATCTCCAGCTGGCTGGGGCTGGACGAGACCACGGCGGCGCCCGCGCCCGCTGCGCCCCCACAGAGGGACGAGGGCCCGCTCAAATACTTCTCCAGCGTCCAGTCGCAGTCGGACGGGAACGGAGACGGTGTCGTTCTGCTAAGGATCGCCCGCGCGCTCAAGTCCGTGCAGGACGCCGACGATGAGGTACGACCGCACGACCATTAAAGGTAATTCTGCACAAAGCCAGAGCTGGGACATGGTGTCGTGTGCAAGTCTCCGTCCGACACCCCTGACGCGCCTGTTGCAGCTGCAGGGCCCGGAGAGCCGCGTGCTGGAGGAGGAGGAGGATGGAGGCGTAGGCAGTCCTCTGGTGGACCAGGAGGAGCAGGACGCCGTCATCGGGGACGTGCGGCACGCCCGCGCACGGCGCGCGCTCCGCCTTGTCGTCCGGCAGGCGGCTCCCCAGAACGGCGGCCAGCAGGACCCCGGCGACGGAGACGCTGGGCGCGCGGACGCGTCGTCGCCCGCTCCCGCGCCGGGATCTTTCCTGGAGACCGTGCAGAACCAACTCCCGGGGCAGCTCCAAGGCCTCGGCGGCGCCATGGAGGACTCGCGGATGATCGTCGGCTCCTTCCAGGCCATCATCATGCCCGGCTCGGCCGCCACCGACGTCGGCCAGCAGATCCAGGGCTTCATCTCCAACATGCCTCAGGTGCCGCAGCTGCCGGCCGGCGGCGGTTGACGGCCGAGCTGCTGGCTGGAGCACTGGCTGGTGCACCGGGGGAGGCGCGGGCTGCGCACGAACAAACCGAAACGGGAGAACAAGTTGCAGCTTGCAACGCCCGGATGGGGGCGACTCGAACGGTTCGCAACCTAATCGCTTGACCCTAATCGCCCGTTTGAACAGCACCAAGTGAGGACGTTGAACCCAACTGCTGTATACAAGCCGGTAAAGGAGCAGGCCCGGTCGAAATAAAGAACGTTTTGGAAGAACTGTTGTTGTATCGTCCCTACACCACATTCACAGCACAAAGTGGGGGAAACTAACTGCCGTAAAAGCCGGTAAGGGAGCAGGCCTGATCGAAATAAAGAACACGTTTTGGAACAGCTGTTGTATCGTCCCTACGGTCCCTACACAACATTCCTCTGCCCGGGACGCGCTGCTGTCTGGCACAACGAGGATATCGACGCCCTTTCGCTACAAACTCACTCGTTCTCTCAACAAGATAAGAAACGAGTTGGACATTTGTAGCCGCCTGTTCTATCCCAGCCCAGACACTTTCATTAACGCTTGGGTTAGCCTTTTGTTCCTCTCGTGAATATTTTATCCGGAAGAACCATCATTTCAAGAGCGGCCCATAATCCAGTGGAAAAATTGGCAGTTAGCACGAACGACGTTGTCCGGTGCGACGAGTCCCGAGGCGTGCGCACGCGCGTGCACACTGCACACTCGTGTTCCCCGGACGCTGGCCCGGGCCGACACACGCGGCAGTTAAACGCGCTGCTAATCACAATTAGCATGAGAAGCGGGGAGTCATTTCTACTCCGCTGATGGATTGGCGCGTGGTCTCCCCTCTCCACCCCATCACTGTCTTCAGTTTCCCTGTTGCTCATAGGCCTAGAGAGACGGACTAAATTGTCTGATCCTCCCGAGGATCTTTGCCGGCGCCCCCCTGCCACATGTACTTCCGTGGAGCTACACTGTACAACACGCGAACGCACGCGATCGAGGGGCTTGCCTACACCGTGTACCAGGAGAGGGCGACAAAGGTGTATGCTACAGAAAACAGGGCGACTAACGACTAACGTTTCCTTCTTTGTCGCTTCCTCCTGGTACACCTTTGAAATCACAGTGGGCTGGTTTGTACCGCCACCGCCGGGCGCCATTGTCGTACACGTTTGAGCGAACGGGGTAAACCTACATTACTGAGCCCACATAGTATCGTCCAGCATGTACGTCCACTTTTTACATATTTAATCGGCAGACCTACGAAAGTTTAGCGCCTGCGAGACTCTGGGTAGGCTATCCCGCTGTACACATATGCACTGAAGGCAAAGCTGTTGCCTACCCACCAGGCGCCATTGGCCCACATCGGCGCTTCCAGAGGCTGAACTTTGCGGGCTCGTAACCGGCGAACGACGGACGTACTTTCTGGATGATTCCCATGCGAGTGGTAGTGGTACAGGTACAACACCGTGTCATGACTATGAACAAATAGATGGCACGAATCAGCCACTGCACCAGGTTACGCCGCTGTAAATAAAACTAGCTCAAATCTAAATTGATTTTAGAAATAAATTGAAGGGCGCGAATAGGTATTTGTCGCGAACAGACCGAAGTAATTTTCACTCCACCCTCAGGTGCCTGTGACAAATGGGGAGCAGTTTGCCGCCATAGTGTCCAGACCAGTTCTGCCGAAAAAAACAACACGATACGTATAGTGTCGGCCTGTGGGGCTGAATGGGCGGTTTTTCAACGCCAGAGGGGCTCCAGTGATATGCATATGTGGGCCGGATTTCGAGCGCGATACTAGACCACCGTGCGGGACCCTGCCCCACACTGGGCACGATCCAGGCCCGCAGGAGGGCTGCACACCGTCGGGAACCATGCGACTACGAGGAGGCTCCGTCGGCTCCGTCACCGTCATCGTGGCGGTCTTGGGTAAGAAAAGCCTTGCCTCCCGCTCAATACTCTTAGAGAAGGATAGTCGCACTTCTTGCAAGCGAAGGACTAATTGTTCCACTGTTACACGAGTAGAAAATTAAGAGCACAGTTTGTTTTTTTTGTTTTTGACCTTATGCTCTTGTAAGAATAAGACTGCCCCAGGGTGTTGCATCTTCAGAGGAGGGCGTAAAAGTGGCCAAGACGGCCAAGATAAGAACAAATATGACATCCTCAATCTATTTCCCCTCGTGATCTTTCTTTTTGTGCTCGCCTCTCGTCAAGTGTTTTCGACCAACCCCGGCTTCAAGAGATCAGCCCTGCAACTGACTGTTGTTTCGGTTCTAGGAATCCTTGTGGGCGTCTGCGTCGAAGCGGCGCCCAACCCTGACGGGCTCACTGAAGGCCTCGACGAGGACGACGACGGCCCTGCTGGCGGCGCCGAGGGCAAGGGCTTCTTCGAACACATCGCCTCCGCTATCCAGAACGCCATCGGCAACAAAAAGCCCGAAGAACCCCCTGCCCCTGCCGGACCCCAGTACCCCACCACGACCGAAGGGCCGTACACCACGACCTCGGAGCCGTACTCCACAACCGAAAAGCCGTACACCACGACTGAGGAGCCGTACTCCACGACTGGGGAGCCGTACACCACGACTGAGGAGTCGTACTCTACGACGTCAACCTCAACAACGTCGACCACCGCGTCTTACGGTTCGAATGAGGTCGAATGCTCCAGCTGTCCCGACGGAGGGTATGTGTTTCCTGACTCTGGAACCACGAGCAGCGCCAGCAGCAGTTCCAGCAGTTCCAGCAGCTCCAACAGCGGCTACGGCAGCTTGAACAATTCCAGTTCTAGCGCCGGCGACGAGGACATCCTCGGCGTGGACTGGGAGGATGTGTTCGGTCCCTCCAACCAGGCGGAGGTGGACGCGGCCCACGCTTAGCAGATCACCGCCCAGTTAACTAATAAACCTAGCCATTCGGCCGAAACATCCGCCCTATCCTATATCTTAGAATAACCAGTCGAAACTTCGCAGGTCCTTACCAAACACAACCTTCGTGCCAGGCAGCAGCGCGAAGTGAGTGACTCGGTGACTCGGTCCAGGCGCATCCCGGGCGTGGCGTGGCGTGGCGTGGCATGGCGTGGCGTGGCGTGGCGTGGCGGTCCGGCGTGCCACCAGGCCCTTGGACGTCGCGTCGGCCCGCGGGACGAGACGACCAGACAGACTGGCACGGATGTTGCCAAATGATGGGGGCAACACCGGCCGACCCGACAGTAGATCACAGCCAGTGAATGGCGCTGGCGCTCCGTGCCCTCTCCTCCCCGCTCCGCTCCGGTGACATCTCTCACTTGTTTTATTCGCGCGGCCCGGGGGCGGGGGGGG